AAAAACGGGTGGCAAAATCTAAAGACAGAGGAGTGTAAATAGCAGTTATGTTACCTATGCAAAATACCGCACAGGCTGCTGCTGCTGCTAGTCTCTGGATCTAATGTTAGTTCTTCCATTTTGCAGTTGTCAAGGTCCATGTGATGAGAAACTGCACATGACTTTATAAGCACAATTTAAAGTAAACCAATTCTTTGGCCACGCAGGGCAACTTACAGGTTGGTTAACATATCCTTGCCCAGCAGCTTACACTTGCCTTCCTATCACTCCCCTGCTGCTCAGTTCATCCCATGTGAGCAAAGGAAAGTCCTACGTTAAATAGGAGTCACTGGAGTAATACCATACACAGGACTATAGACTCCCCATGTGACATTGCTGAGCTCATAGCGACTGCAATCATTTGTAAAAATGATATAATATACAGTGATGAAAATACTGTATGCATTATGCTTTGGCAAACCAATCACTTTATCTTTTTTTTAACTGGAAATGTCTAAAGTGAAAAGATAGCGAGAATCCTGGGTCCGTTTCCAACATTCCAAAATACAGTGGTCATAATTTGCAACAGATTTCAGCACCTAAAGACTGTAAAATAAACAGGTAACTACAAACTCAGTTTGGATGAACAGGCAATATTCTGTCTATATAGGTATATGTGTATATTCGTAGCAATCAGTGTGCTTGTTTAACGTATCTACTGCATGAAATAAGGATCAAAATCGAAATGCTATGTCTATAGGCTACACAGCTCTTCCTTAGCACAGGGCATACGCAGAGGTATAACTAGAACCTTCAGGGACCCGGTGCAAGAAACCATGAAGGCCCCCCCCCAACCCCCCACTGCCATGGCACCGCATGGTTAACAGGAAGGCTGCCGAGGTTCCCAGCAAGCGCGGGACCTCAGGCAGCCGCTTGTTTAAAATTTTAGTGCCGGTGTTCTGTCAAGAACGCCGACCCAGTATCTGCCTTTACGTACAGACGGGATTAACGAGGAAACTGGCATTTATATACAAAGTATTTGTTTGTAATGGTTAGTTGTGACCGTTAATAATATACCATGCATGGCAGTAAATGATGGGTGGCAGTAAATGAAGGATGGAATATTATTAACGGTCACAATGAACAATTTAAACTAAATGCTTTGTAAATCCCGGTTTCTCGATAATATTGGTCTGTGCTCAAGCGCAGATGCTGAGCTCGGCAAATTTGACTACGTTGGCGTTATCAACAGAACACAGCTATCTGCGTTTAGTATCGGGGCATTTTCACGAGTATGAGTAATCGTGAAAATGCCCAGTATTGGCAGTGGTGTATCCCTACTGAAAAATATAATGTATTGCTGGGACTTGTAGTCCTACATAGTTGGTGCTATTCTGCATTGCTGTATAATCATCATACCGCAATGTAGAATACCCCCAGCTATGCAGTCCCAGCAATCCATTATAATAAAAGTCAGCTATGCAGAATACCACCAGCATCCCCCCACTTCCCTGCGACCTCCCCACCCCACCCCACTCTAGACTTACCTTCCCTCTCCTGCAGGGCCCTCTTCCGTGTCTCGGCAGCCAGGGGGCGGGGCTAAGTGGAGATGGTCCTCACACAGCAAAATGTGCTGTCTGGCGGTGCTTGCAGCACATTCTGCAGGACTAGTGTGACAGCCTCTCCAGACCTGCTGCACAGCCGCCCGTACATGCTGCGGGTGGCAGAGCGGCAGGGAAGGAGCAGCAACGATCTCGGGGGGGCCCAGCAGGCGGAGCACCAGGGCCCGGTCACAATTGCGACCGCTGCAACCCTGGTAGTTCCACCAGTGGTCATACGTATAACGGCCCCATAATCTTGCTATTGAGCACTAGGGATCGCTAAACACAGTAACTGTATTCACAAAGGTACAGTCAATGTAAATTATATATTTCTGATAAGGACTATCATTGAGCAAAACAGTCAACTTTGCTGATTTCTAAAAATGCCAATTGCCTGGCTGTCAGTAATGGCTCTTTTGGCAATAGTTTCTGAGTCAATGGCAGAAACATGTACAGAGATTAGTAGTTCTGACTTTACTCGTTGCATTTGTGCTCCAGGTCAGCGACACAGGACATACTGAAACAACTGGTTCAGCATGACATCCAGGTGACTGACATTTTCTGAAGGGAGTCAGCAATGGCAGCTAATATATTTCTTTCAGCGCAGTATTACTTTACAGTGGTTAACTGTAACAATGTTTCCATGTGTTCATAACCAATGGGAAGTACATTCCTAAAGACATTTAGATGAACTAGTCCTGGCTACTGTGTTGTGTTTCCAGAAATTAAGTATTCATATTTATACCCAATGAGAGGATTAGGGTGTTAGAAGGTTTAAAAGAAAACAGTATGGAGTCTATCAGAAGGGAGAATAAGCAGGTCCGATGTGAAAGGATACAGCTGGCTCCAACGACCAATCTGTCAAGAGAGTAAACAAAAAAAGTACTTTACTGCGTGCTGTCACATAAATTCCACACCTCAATAATATCCTAATTATTGTATGATTACAAGATTAGAGATATAATCTGCTCTTCTCAGAAAGGAAAGGGTAAACAGAACGCCCTCCAAGCTCGTAAAATGTGAAAGAGAGGAGACACACATGGAGCAAGAACCAGCTTTCAATGTTGCAATAAAATTCAAATGTCTGATTACCTGCAAAGTGGAATTCTGACCTATGTTTAAAATATGTTTTATATTTTCCCGCTATTAACATATATAAATAAACAGCTTTTTTCTGCATTATGCTTTAAAAAGTCATATTACCATATAAAAAAACTGGAACAAAAAATGAGCAACAAATTTAAAATTGGCTCTCGGAAAAGATTTTCTTAGCTCAAAGTCTAGATAGAGGAGTCTAAATGGCAATCCAGGTCTCCCAATATTGCGGTTGATGTTCTGACAATCAAAAAATACCGAGGCAACTGCCTTTAAAGAAGAACTCTGCGCAAAACTTGTATTAAGACTTGCAGTGGGGCAACCCCACAGGAGGAGACTAGCTTCAGTGACCGGAGAAGCAGGGAGTCAGCTCAGCGGTTTGGGTGAGTATAACTTTTTTATTTAGCACCTAGACAAAAACGAGCAGTTAACCCTTGCAGTGTGGGGTTAGCCCAACTGAAAGGGTTAATAAAAGGTTTTCCCCTAGAGTTCTTCTTTAAAGACAGTTTTTTTTTTTTTGATCATCAACTGCAATATTGGGAGACACAGATTGCCATTTAGACTCCTCTATCTAGACTTTGAGCTAGCAGGTCTTTTCCGTGAGCCAATTTTCAATTTGTCACACGAAAGTGAAAGTATAAGCTAAAGAACTGTTAAAAGCAAAATGTTGTATGCTTACCTGGGGTATTTGCAAGGTTACAGATATAAGTAACTTTAGCAAACAATGAAGGATAAGTTCACTTTAAAACAAAGTGCACTTATCCTTTTTGTCCCCCACCCTTGACCTAAATGATCCCAGACCCCCCCTTTTGTCTAAGCGTGTGTTATTCTTTAAGCAATTAAATCCACTGGACACAAGAGAATAAATAAAGAGGAAACACTAAAACAGGATGCAGCAATACAGCATGCACTCTGAGCTACCTCCGTGGAACACTGTTGTCTAGGTGGAAGGTGAACAGCTAATGCGAACAAAGTTATTTCGAAAACATTCAATGATGCATACATATAAGTGGAACTCCAATTTAATAGTTGTGAATAGAGTGTAGGAAGGTCAGAACTACTGTCAGGTTTGTTGATGCCATCCGTGTCTCTGTTGAAGAGATTTCCCCTTTCTGTCTTGGTGACCACTGTCCCCAAAAGGACACAGGCAGCAGGCAGCAGTAGAACAATAACAATAACAACTTCAAAAATTTGTATAAAACACAATCCTAATCTAGCTAACCCCTAAGGCCTGGTTCACACCAAGCGCGTTCCAGGAGCAGAGCAGAGTAGTTACAGACCGGATCAAAACTGTGTCCAATGTATTCCAATGGTATTTTGGGCTCTAGTTCACACCGCAGCGTTCAGTTCCAGAGCATGCAAAAAAGCTGCAGCAAGCCCTATTTTACCTGCTCTGGAACACATGCAAACGCCCTGGAACGCACTGAAAGCCCATTTTAAACTAAAAACAAAAAAAATATTTATTTTTTAACCAAAAACGGCCCGGAACGCATCAAAAACGCGGCACAACCCACTGCACTGCGTGTGCAGAAACTCATGCAGATCTGGTCTGCATTTGGTGTGAACAAGCCCTTAACCATCCTGGCAATGTTGTGTTAAAATAAGACAACATTCTATTTCTCCAGCTATAAACCACCACCAGCTTACTTATCAGCCATAATATAGTACATAGCCACATCTATATAATCATAATTTCAGCGCACCACAAAATTCAGTACAATTCTGCGGGCAGGCAGTGCTCAATGTGCATGCTGGAAATTCTATGCTGCCTGAAGGGTTTGTACTCAAAGCAGAAAATGTTCAACAGTTTCTTAGTCTCTTGTGACAGCCCATGCCATAAAGTACTATAAATGAAAATATCTTTTGCAGTTGTTGCCACCTTGATATGTAAATCACTGTATTTTATCTGTCAAACAACAAAGTTCACACTCAAACTGTTATTTGATACCACAGTCCCTTGAAAGATATACACAGGAATGTTTTTGTGACTGCCAGGGTCACAGAAATGCCACTTTTGGACTTGTTGCTTACTTAAGGCTTGCTGCTTCCCTTGAGCACATGGTCACATTCAAGCATCATAGGTATCCCCGTTAACTTGAAAGTAGGAGAGTTGTTTCAGGTTGGTGGTTCACCAACAGTAAAAAAATTTGAGGTTGTAACCTTTTACCTCTTTATCTACACAAAACATTTTTTTTTTACTTTAAAACCATCGCTCCAATGCGTTTCAAGATGTATCGTGCCCTGGCTGTCAGATTCAGAGGGTCGACCATGCTCATAATGCGGCAGATTCAGACGCAATTTGAGCCATGGATGGCCTTGAAAGCACCACCCGGCTCAACACATGTCAATTCAAAAAAATCGACTGAGCTGGGTATAAAAATTACCGACCTAACGGTGACTACATCCTATCAGATGCAGCCACAGTTCAGGTATTAAAGAAGTAACAGGGGTGCTACTGCTCCCCGAATACAGCAGCTGGCAGTGAATATCACTCTTTGGCATATTTGGCATGGATGAGGGAATCAATTGATTTTCTCTCACTGAGCCCATAGGCTGAGAGAGAGAAATCAAGCCATGTATAAATATCTTTAGTTTGTAAAGAATCAATGCAATCATTATCACAATGCTGTTTAGGTTATTCCGTGGACTGAAGTTTAATTAGTCAGACAGTATATGAGTCACACAGCTATACCAGATATCACCAGCAGGGGGTTTGCCAGGTGACAGCTTTCCTTAAAACTGACAAGCTGTGCTTGGAGTATCCCTCTGTATTGTACTACAAATAGGAGATTTCCTTTTAAACTGGAAATCCCTTTTAATTCATTGCATCTTTCTATAAATTCCTTAGTCATAATCTCTGCATGTTTCCAACAAAGATAAGTGTTTGCAGTTTACAAGAGAGGCAAGAAGTGTTTGTTCACTGCCTATCATTTTAATTGCTGCTCTCACTTTAATGGCCACTTGCAAAAATCTCACAACACATGTTTCACTCTAACCAACATGTTTGCACAACCATAAACCATCCCCTCCCTTCTCCTGCAGGTCTGTTTAAATACTGTGGAAAGCTTTCAAATATCCCTCATTTCTGGGGTGTTTAGTTAGGTATCACCCATCAGGGACATGAAATGTGGGTGGCCTCGTCATAGGAGATCTCTGCATACCTTTTGGGAGGTATCAGGCTAACGCCGGAAAACCCGATTTTAACGTCACTTGTAATCCCTCTTGCTACTAATAATATAATTCCCTTTTAAGAAAACAAGCATTATACCTCAGTGAACAAGGCTGGAGAAGCTGCTGGGGCCATCGGTTGGATGGCAGATTCTGTGAGCTACAGGTGACAGGAATGTGCCTGGGGTAATTGTCTAGAGTACAACAAGTGAAGCTTTACTCAGACAGCACAAGCTTGCAACTGTCCAACTATTGTACAGCTAGGTTTATCTGATATTCCAGCAGGGCTCAGGAGATCAGACCTGGATTTACATAACTAAGCAAGGAAGAGAAATACAGTCAATGGCTTGCTGCACTTACCTGAAAATGAACTGACTATGGCAAGTTTGTGTCTTGCGAGTTACCACACAGGACTGATAACAGGACAAATTGGAGCAGTTTATTAGCAAATTATTCTCCATATATACCATATTTTATCAATTATTATGTACAATTACACAAATTAAGAAACTGTAGCCCTGTCTTATGTAGAGCAAGGGCAGGAATAGGTGACATAAAATCAAGTCTACACTTCTTATGGTTTAATGTCTCATGCATAGCATATGGCCAGGGGACAGATTTACTGAACAGTTCAGACATCTTCAGAAGAAAGAGCTAAGACTCCACAGGAAAGGTGGGGAAGAAAAACTTCAGCATGGTCCAACTTTGATAATAACATTAGGGCTGCAACAACTAATCGACTAAGTCGATTATAATCGATAATTGAAAAAGTTGCCGACATTTTCAATCATCGATTAATCGGCTTTCGATTAGTTGGCCCTGTTCACGGCTCCACAGACACCGCGCGCCGCACCTGCTCCCCGCCTCATGCTTTCCGCTGCCAGACCCGCCCGTATCCACGCTCCACACGCCGCACCTCCTCCCCGCCTCACGCTAACCGCCCGCCCACATCCACGATCGGCACAGGGACGCGGGGAGAAGAAGAAGTAAGGAGGAGCAGGCGTGGGGGGATGACAGCCGCCGACAGACACCTTTTTTTTAGTTCCACCGCTCCAAGCTTGCTCCTGTGATGGACTACAATCTCAATACAAACTAGTAGTCAATCACGGGAGCCATTTTTTAAAAATCCCGATTAACAGGTTAATCGAACTACATAATCGGCTAACTAATCAATTTTAAAAATAATCGTTAGCTGCAGCTTTAGATAACATCCATTTGCACAGGGTTTGGGATTAAAACACTTTTGACTTGCAGCTGATCAAAGAGGTGCTCCAACAAATAACAGTATATGGAGCTTCCAACATTCGATCTCCAGTTAAATGCATATTTGAAGTACATGTATCAGCACTTTTTTAGCTACCAAAGAGTTGATAAGGAATCACCCGTGTTCCTCAGCTCCATCTACTGGCGGGAATGCTGTGCAAATGGCATTCGGCCAGCATATGGCTGGGTGGAGGATTTATAAATTGGCCCCTAACAGTTCATGTGCACTGCTGCAGAGCTCAATTAGCTCCTAAGGATGTCCTCCTTAATCCTATCAGAGTGCAGTTTCTGGCACTTAAACTAGATGCATTTAAAATGTATTTTATTTCATT